AGCAGGAACTCCCCTTTCTCTGGCCCAGCTAGAGACAGGCCCTGGGGATGTTCTTCACTCAAGGGGCCGGATAGCAGGATGGTTAGGGCCCCTGGCTTCCTGATCAGCGTAATCTGCATTCAAGCCTTACTCCCTCTTTTTAGCTGTAGGCCTTGACCCAGTCACTTAGTTGCGCTTTCCTCGTGTGTTCAGAGGGGAGAATTTTCACAGCCTAGCACATGTGAAATAGTAACTCTTACTATTTATGGTTATTATTGTTCCAACCCCCCAGGGAATGGACTTGAAGCAGTTTTCTTCTTGCGCACAGATGGGAAGATGACTGGGCAAGGCTGAGGTTTGTTCCAGCGGGTCTGGACACTTGGCTGTCCATGTTCTTGTCCAGGGATCATGGAGAACCATTCCCAAGAGCCTCTCAGCAGGGATCGGAGTCCACGTGCTGTGTTAGTGGCTGGTGCTGTGGCCTGTAAGGCGCAGGGTATGTTTGTAGGAATCTCTGGGGGCCTTTGCCATCAACGGAAGCCAGACTGTTCTTAGTAGGAACTTTGTGGTGCGCCCCTCCCCCCACATGTACACTGGCCTCTGATAGGCAGTTCTGAGGTTAAAGGATGGAGGAAACAGATGGGGTCCCCAATAACAAAAGAGAATCATAGAGAAGTCACAGGACACAATGTAGAACAGTGCCTGGCACACAGTAGGGTCTTGGTTCCTCTTTCACAATAATAATTATTATTATTTTTAAAGCATCCAAGTATTATTGTTGTTTGTTTGTTTTTTGCATCCATGTGTCTAACTGTATTTTATACAGTTAGGTTTGTTGATCTGTCCCTTTGTGATTCTTTTATAGCTCCTAGATATAAAAAGTATTCCTCGCATAAGAGGTTGTATAAATGTTAAATTCTGTTTTGTATTTTTTGCTTTGATTTAAAAAATATTTAGAGTGTAATTTGATGTAGAGTTTATTTTGATTTTTAGGTTATTGCGAGTCTCTCTTTTTTTGTTTTCCCAAAATTGGTTGGCTGTTCTAACAACAGTTATTAATCCTTTCCTGATTTTTTTGTGAGGTCTCCTTTAGCATTTATTAAATTATGACATATTACTTATGGACCAAATGGGCTATATATTTTATTTCTATGATCTATTTTACCTGTGGCCCTTCTTTGAAATAATTGTAGCCTTGCAGTATTGGTTACCACCCATCTTTTTTTCTTATAGAGTCATGCTTGTTCATTCCTCCAGTTGAAATTTAAAACCATTTCATAAGTTAAAAAACCAAAAAACATTTTGGGATTTGAGAAGGAATTACATTAAGCAATCTATAAATCCGTGTCTTTAAAAATCAACATGATTTTAATATTTTGACTTGTTATCAATGAACATGTTATAGCTTCACATACAAATCAATTTTTAAAAACATTTTTGTGTGAACTCTTCGACTTTTCTTAATATTATTCAGATCCATTTTTTCATTATTGCTATCACTGTATATTTTATATTACTGTTGCTGTTCAGAATAGGATCCTCAAAAACTATCTTTTTATTGCTGGCGTATAGAATGTCATTGAGTTTTGCATGTTTATTTGGATCAGCCACTTTGCTGAAGTCTGTTTCGTTTGCGTTGTCAGATGACTTTGGGTGTTTGAGGTCACACAGTCATTGCACGTACACATCATAATCATCTTGTCTGTTTCCAATGTTTATGTTTTCTGTTTCTTTGGACAGAACTCCTAAGTCCATGTTAAGGGATGCAGGTGGTGGGAGGCATCCTCTGTGGCTCTTTGTTTTAAAGGGACAGCTTCTGATGTTGCCCTTGGTGTTCTCCAAGCTTGTAGATCTGTCGCTTCCACCCAAGGGGCTGATATGATTGACAGCCACCACAGCCGTCCCTTGGAGCCATTTGTGCTCTGGCACCAGGCACTAGGGACTCGTGGTTTGGAAGGGTTTGTTCTTTCTAGAATCCCCAGCCTACCCCAAACTTGGAGCCCGCAGAGCTGGTGCAGTCCCAGCCCTGGTCTCTACTGAAAGCCTGGCTTCTTGGGAGTGGGTCCCCGCTGCAGACTTCGCATCCTCTTCCGCCAGCCTCACCTGCTGATATAGGAGCTGGTGGTTGTGGCAGCAGGGCTGCGCTCACTCAGCACAGCCTGGACCAGAGGAGGCAGTAAGACAGCTCTTCACAGGATGCCCTACAGGACCCCTGTGGCCCTCAGTCATCCGGACTTTTGTCTTTACCCTACGTGCCCCCTTTCTTTCCTCACCAACTCAGGGAGGTCCCCGATACCCTGCCCTGCGCCAGGCCTGCCACACCTCTGCTGGCACCGTGGTCTGTGGTCTTTCCAATCCAGTGGGAAAGCAGAAAGAAAAGGGGGGCAGTACAATACAGGATGAAGAGGTTTTATTCGCACAATATGAGGCTAAGAGGCTGGGGCATCGAACTGCAGTGAGAGAAGGCTTCTTGAAGGAGGTGACACTTGAGCTGGCCTTGGAGCAAGAGTAGAAATTCTACGAGGCAGAGGAGGGAGAAGGGCTTCTCTTCTGACTGTTTCTGTAGGCTTTGCATTATTGTTGCTGTTCACAGTAGGATCTTTATAAACTTCCTTTTCTTGCTGGTATATAGGAATATTATTGATTTCTGTATATTTAATTTGGAACAATCTTCAAAGGCTTAGAGGCCTGGGGGAAGCCTGGCCTCTTTGGGAAAAAGACAAGAGTTTGCTGAGAGGGAGATGGGGCAGTACTTTCTGAGTTGGTGAGTGAGTGCTCCTGGGGTTCGGGGTTCAGGGGTTAGGAGGGGATCACCAGTAATGGGGGCACTTAGGGAAGAAGAAACAACATCTGTAGCATTACCTCTGCAGTCCTGCCCGGCACTTGGTTAGTACATTTGGTACTTTGTATTACATTTACTTTTCCTGACAGCTTTGCTAGGTGGATAATGATACACCCATTGTACAGATGAAGAAACTGAGGCCCAGGGAACTTACATGACTTAGATGAACCTCATCTCTTAGCCTTCATACTTTCAGTGTCTCCCTGCTGCCATGTATATAAAACAGTTTTATTGACATATAATTCATATACCCTACAATTCAGCCATTTAAAGTATACAATTTAGTGGTTTTAGTATATTCATAGATTTGTGCCGCTATCACCACAGTCAAATTTTAGAACATTTGCTTACCCTCACCAAGAAACCCTCACCACTTCATCTCCATCTCCCAATCCTTCGATGCCCCCCCAGCCTTACGGAACCACTCATCTCCTTTCTGCCTCTATATGCTTGGCTATTCTGGACATTTCATATAAATGGTCTCATACACTATATGGTCCATTATGACTGGCTTATTTCACTTAGCATAATGTTTTCAAGGTCCTTCGATATTGTAGCATGTATTGGTACTTCCTTTCTTTTTATTGCTAAACTTATTCCTTTTTATGGAGATACGGCATTTTGCTTATCCATTCAGCAGTTGATGGACATCTGGGTTGTTTCCATGTTTTGGCTGTTATGAATAATGCTGCTATGAGCATCCACGTGTGATGTGTTTTTGTGTGGACACCTGGTTCCATTTCTCCCGCGTGTACACTACGAGTGGAGTTGCTGGCCATATGGTAATTCTTGAGGAACGGCCAGCAAGCCTGCACACAGCTTCCTCGCTGCCTCTTGTACAAGGCTTTCTTTCTGTCAGAGTGACAGGACTGGGAAGGCCAACGTCTATGTGAATTGCCTGTTTTCAAAGAAGTAGACTGTTACCAAGTACTCATAAGACTGCAGCTTCACTGTTGAGTCTTTGACGGTTCCTTAGGGACTTGTCGACTTGGCAGGGCCTCAAGGGCATTGCCATGAATGCTGGTCGCCACTGCGCTGGCAGAACCCTGCCTTCCACATTCTGGCTAGTAGGCTGTGGTAATGGAGAGGGACAAGTGTGATTACAGGTGATGAAGGCTCCTAGAAGAGAGAGAGTAGGGTTTCAAGCCTGGCACAGGGGGGACAGGCGGGAGAGCAAGGAGGCTGGAAGGGTGGACCGGGTCGGGTCCACATGGTTTGGGGCAAGTCCTCAGGCAGCTCTGGCTGCTGACTCTGGTCTGTCTTTGTTTTGTGGCTGCAGATCTGGCCGAGTGCAAGCTGGTTTCTTTCCCCATCGGCATCTACAAGGTCCTGCGCAATGTCACCGACCAGATCCACCTCATCACGCTGGCCAACAACGAGCTCAAGTCCCTCACCAGCAAGTTCATGACCACATTCTGTCAGCTTCAAGGTAGGCCCTGGTCAGCTCAGCTTAGCTCAGGGGAGCATGGCCAGCCCTCGTCCTCAAGCTCTGACACTCTTGGGAGGGTAACTAGGACCAGCCCCGTCAGCTGCACCTGGGAAGTCTCTGCCAGGGGGAGGCTTTGAGGATGGACCTGTGTCCTTCCTGAAGCGTAGAAACTTCTGTCGTGTCTGCCTCGCTGGCTGGGAATCAGATTGGCTCATGGTCTAGGTGTGGGTTCTGGAGTGACCCTCTTATTCTGAACAGACCAGCGGGGTCTTTGGGGTCTTGAGGCCCAGAAGTATCTCTTGGTGACTTGAACAAGCCCCGTCTGGTCCCCCAATCCGGCATTGTTCTCCTGTGCTGCTCTCTCAGTTCAGGAGTAACAGATTCCAGAATGTTGGTGTTTCCTCTGCTGGGCACACACAGAGGAGGTGGACAGGGGGGTGTGGCAGCGAGGTGGCAGGAGGCCAGCGGGTGGGTATTATCGATTCTTTTGAAGTGGCTCCTCCGGATGGACAGCAGCATGCAGGTGTCTCTGCAGTGCTTGTCCCCCTCTCCACAGAGCAGCCCCTCCATCCTTCTGCAGGAGTCCAGGGCCACTCAGCCGGCCTGGGATGGAGCTGTGACCTGGGAACATGGCATGTGCTTTCAAAGTGGTGGAGCGGGAGCGTTGGGGAGAGCACAAGAGCCTGACCTTCCTGCCTTATAGAGTTCTCTATCTGCTAGAAGCATGGAAAGGGTCTAAGAGCCTGTGTAGAGAAACATGCATGTAAAATGGAAACGGGGGAACAGAGCAACTCGAGCGAGCCTGTCTCCTACAGCTGATCTTAGGCTTCTTAGGGAAACTACAGGAGGGAGCACAGGCAGGTCTGGAAAGACCCCCGGCGAGGTGCAGACACGCGGGCAAGAACGTGGGCTTGGTCTGTGCAGTCGTTTCTGAGTGAAGCTCACAGGGCTCATATTTTTACATAAGATACAAGTGATCAAACACTAGATTTAGCCTGAGGGCCACTGGTTGGGAGAATCTCCCATAAATGTTAGAGCTGTTTCCATCCCCTCATTTCAGGGATGGAGAAGGAAGGTCAGGGAGAGCAGGGACGTGCCCGCCCGGGGTCTCAGAGCAGTACACCCTGGTTGCCCACCTCGCAGGCCAGGTGCCTCCCCAGGACACCTGCATGAGCTCACGGGTCCTCCAGAGCTGTATCCAGCCCGCTGGAATGGGGTGTTTGCTTTCCAGAGCGGGAGGGAATGATGGACCTTGGATGGTGGGGGTGGGTGGAGCCCCTGGAAGGGCAGCCAGGCAGGGGGGCTTCCTTTGGGTGAGAGGAGTTCATTCGTACGTTTTCCTTCATTCACTCTGCCCTGCGCTCCTGCTGTGTCCAGGCCTGTGGGAGGCTCAGAACAAAGGAGCTCAATGGGAGGCTCCCACTGAAGGAGCCCAGGGTCGCGGAACAGACGCGGCAACAACACCGAGTGCTGTGATACTAGTGTGGACAAAACACGGGGCTGCTGGGCCGAGGAACAAAATCTTCCCGAGAGTGGCAAGGGCAGCGGGGTGGGTGTGGAAGCAAGGCTCTCAGGGGATCTGACATTCGGCTGCGCCTTGCAGGATGAGTGAGCAGGCCCTCTCAGGGGGACCACGGCGGGTGTCAGAGAAATGTGCTAGAGCCCCGTGCATCGTGCCTGGGCCCTGGAAATATAGTCATTACAATACACTCTGGGTCAGAAGTCTGTTGAAGGTACAGTTTGAACTCCCTCCTGTGCTGGCTGCGGCTCCTGATGCCCCCACATGCCTTGGATTACACAGGGATGGCCGTGTGCCCAGCAGGAAGGGGCTGGAGCTGAGGACCAACCTGGCTCCCACGGAGGTAGCGCTGAGTCCCAGCCTTTGTTGTAGCTTCTCTTTCAAATAAGAAAACCCTCACAGCTGAAGCCGGTTTGGCTCAGTGGATGGAGCATCGGCCTGTGGACTGAAGGGTCCCGGGTTCGATTCCGGTCAGGGGCATGTACCTGGGTTGCGGGCACATCCCCGGTGGGAGATGTGCAGGAGGCAGCTGATCGATGTTTCTCTCTCATCGATGTTTCTGGCACTCTATCTCTCTCCCTTCCTCTCTGTAAAAGGTCAATAAAATATATTTAAAAAAAAAAAAAAACCCTCACATCTGATGTGCGAAGAGGAGGCTTGAATAAGGTTTTTCTGGGCTCCTCACAGCCTGCCAGTGTCCTGACAAAGGAGGGGGGCTGCTTTGGTGTTGGGGAGAGAGCCATCTGTGAACTCCCTGCCTGCCAAGTTGTTTCCTGTGGGCAGCCTGGGAACCGTCTTCTGCTGGGCTCATGGCCCCTCAGAGTAAAGTCTTATTATTTATTTATTTGCTTATTTGCATTTATTAGTCTGCTTGTTTATTTGTCTGTGTATCTGGTTGTTTGTTTGTTTATTTATTTATCCTCGCCCATTGATTTTTTTTTTAGAGAGTGGAAGGGAGTGAGGGAGGGAGGGAGAGAGAGAGAGAGAGAAAGAGAGAAACAGAAACATCAACATGAAAGAGGCACATTGATTGGTCTGCATGTACCCTGACTGGGGTTTGGAGATCGAATCTGCTACCCAGGTATGTGCCCTTGACCAAGAATCAAACTGGTAACTCTTTGATGCACAGGCCAATGCTCTATCCACTGAACAACACCAGCCAGGGCAGAGCAAGGTCATCTTTAAATGATTCCATCTCCTTTATGCCCTTCACCCATCTTATAACAAGAAAAAGCAAGAAAGACCTGGGAAGGACAGTGGCAGAAATGGAATCAGCCCCAAAGGCAAGTGAGTCCCAGTGTCCAGCTGTGGCTCTTTTATTCCCTCTTTTTCTGCGTCCCCATCTCCCCACTTCCTCTCCATGCAAATCATTCAGCTCTTCTTTTTTAAAATGTAATTGTTTTTAGGTTGATTTTTACAGAGAGTGAAGGAGGGAGGGGGGCGAGAGAGAGACATCGATGTGAGAGAGAAACATCCACTGGTTGCCCCCTGCACACGGCCCGACCGGGAATCACACCCACAACCTGGGAATGTGCTCTGACCGGGAATCACCCACAACCTGGGAATGTGCTCTGACCGGGAGTCGAAGCTGCCACCTTCTGTTGTCCACGATGCTGCTGCAGCCACCTGAGCCGAGCCGGCCAGGGCTCACTCAGCTCTTCTTACTGCGTGTGAGAGGCACCCCTGCAGAGTGAACGAAGACCACCCCAATGAGAACTGCAGGGGCTGCTCGTTCAGAGCTGCTCTAGCAAGGGAGTCAGCCTCTGTGCTTGCCTTGGGCAGACTCAAAGGCAGGCAGTGGGGTGGGAAAGCTTTACAGTGGAGGAAGGGAAGGCTTTAGGTGTGTCCTGACTGGAGGCCTTTGGCCTGGGGAAACTGTAGGCAGGCCTGCTAGCCGTGGGGCATCCTGTGTGATTGGTTAGGGTGTGTATTTGGCTTTCTCTGCTTGGTGCTAAGTTGGAAGTGGGGACAAAAGTTAAGGAAACTGGCCCTGGCTGGTTTGGCTCAGTGCATAGCGTGTTGGCCTGGGGACTGAAAGGCACATGCCCGGGTTGTGCAGGAGGCAGCCAGTCAATGATTCTCTCTCATCATTGATGTTTCTATCTCTCTGTCCCTCTCCCTTCCTCTCTGAAATCAATAAAAATATATTTAAAAAAAGGTAAGGAAACTGTCAGCAATCAAGTGCTGGCCATTGGGTCCATTTGTTACAGAGGGCAATGTTTGGTTTCCAGGACTGTTGATAGCGATAGCAGTCTGACTTAGGGCAGACAGCTTTCTGAGCTGTCACTGTTGAGATGGGTTGGCTTCCTGGGCAGGTTGTGGGTCAGAGTTCTATTCTTCTAGTTGGTCTGGCCATTGCCTGTGTGTGTATTCAGTCTCTCACAGCCTGTCTTTCAGTGAACTTCCGCGGTTCCTCGTGAGCGCCTGCTCTACGCCCGGCCGTGGGCATGAGCAGGTGAGGAGTAGCAGGAGAGCCCAGGTTCACTGGGTGCGTGCTGAGGGTTCACATGTGCTATCTCATCCAGCCCTCATAGCGCCCGATATTTGAGAAGGCTAAGAAAACTGAGACCTAGGTTTGCTTGCTCGGACCCAGCCCTGGATCCCGCCCCAGACTGGGACGCAGCTTCACCATGGAGGAGGCAGACCGAATCCTCATCCATTCCCTGCGCCAGGCCGGCGCGGCAGTTCCTCCGGGAGTGCAGACCCTGCGAGCCTTCACCACTGAGCTAGCTGTCGAAGCCGTTGTCTGCTGCCTGCGTGTGATCAATCCTGCTGTGGGCTCCGGCCTCAGCACCCTGCTGCCTCTTGCCATGTCTGCCTGTTTCCACCTGGCCATGAGCCTGGCTCAGGCCTGCATGGACCTGGGCTATCCTTTGGAGCGTGGCTATCAGAACTTCCTCTACCCCAGTGAGCCTGACCTCCGGGACCTGCTTCTCTTCTTGGATGAGCGTCTACCTGCCGATGCCTGTGAGGACGCAGACCAGCCTGCAGGTGACTCAGCGATGCTTCTCCGGGAGCCACATTCGGGACCAGTTGGCCCTGCCCTGGGCTCCACCCTTTCTTCGCACTCCTAAGCTGCAGCACCTCCAGGGCTCGGCCCCCCAGAATCTTTTCCATGCCAGGACGCTGGTCGTGCCTGAATTGAGTTCCACAGGAGAGCCCCGGGAGTTCCAGGCAAGTTCCCTGCTACTACCAGCCCCCACGCAGGTGCCTCAGCCTGCTGGGAGGGTGGCCTCGCTCCTCGAATGCCATGCCATCCAGCTCTGCCAGCACACAGCCCCGGACCACCCTGGGGACAAGGCCTGGGTCCACCGGGCATCCTGCCTCCCCGCACAGGATAGGTGGGCTCAGCTGCAGCGGCTGCAGAAGCACCTGACTGAGCATCTGCGTCAGACCTGGGGCCAGCTGGGGGCCCCCCAGCAAACCCAGGACTTGGGAGAGCTGCTGCAGGCCTGGGGTGCTGGGACCAAGACTGGTGCTC